CACACACACACACACACACACACACACACACACACACACACACACACACAATGGTGTTATTTTTCTGCTGTCAAACTCTTAGAAAGCATTGAATTTGAAATTGTGCAGCGAACTTGTCTAACCTTTGTTTTGTGGACTAGAAGTGACCTTTGAAGTGACCCCCCCCCCCCTCGTGACTGCTATTATGCTATTATGGGGGTAATCGTCCTTTCATTCCATCTGTGCTTATTTGGACGTTTTGTCGCAAAAGTCATCTAAATATTGTCCGTGCTTTGGTGTTCATGAACGTTTCAGTGATATTCAGTGGGTGATTTCATCCTCGGAGTCCCCACAGCATACAGAGTATTCAAGTTAAGCGTCCTTTGCTTTTAGAGTTGCTCAAAGCCACCATATGATGATAAACAATCTATGTGAAAATATGTACAATGTTTTCAAGTGTAATGAAGAGCATTAGAAGTGTGACCTATTCACCTACGCTAAGATTATAATATTAGTTTGGTCATTAGGGGCCGACGCTGTGTAATGTGATAAAGACTTAGAAACTGGAGCTGAAGATGCAGAATTAAGATCTGATGGTGCTCACACCTGACGGCAGTATGGTCAGCCATCTTGGAGAGCCCCCCCCACCGGTGGGAGCTATTTAAAAGCCAACTTGGGTCCTAGACAGGAAGTGGTGACATCATGTCTATGAACCCAACCAATTAGAAATAGTTGGGCCCCTTTCCTGCAGGTGCCCATGCAATTCTCTCTTTTACATGTCGTGCATGCAATGCGTACAAAGAGTACGTGGATGCATTCAGTGCACCGGACACACAATCGCATGTATATTGTGGAAGTTCAGGTTGTGGACAGGCCTTTATAAACAGGCTTGACGGTTATAACCTTTTTTTCCTTTTTTTGGCCAGTGGCTTCTGAATCTGCTACCTACCCTTGGGAAACGGGTCAGATTTGGTTTTGGCCAATGCTGTTGAAATGGTACCGGAGTACAATACGACAGGTTATTGTTACGTCATGCCATTAAAAATCTGAAATTGGAAGCGTTTGCAAGTTACTGTCATCTCTGGTCGCTGTTGGAGACGAGCTAGCTGGGCAATTTGTAACATTATTGGTTCCGGTTGTACATTGGTGCAGAAAATGAATGGTGAGAGATGCATTTATCATATATTATCATGCATTGTGTGCTTGAGAATGTGTCCCTTTCAGTTGTTGTACTACAATGTGTCACCCAGCTGTTATAAAAGGGGTAAGATTGCTCCCTGAGACTCCTAGCAGGAACGATTCACCGTGCATGATGCAATATTTAAAAACAGTGAAGGCCTCACCTTTGTCCTCCTGTTAGGATCTGACATGCTGCCTTTGGTTTCCTTGGCGTCTGATTAGACACGGAGCTCTGATTCACCCAGATTGAGATCTGATTTATTTTCCTTTCCTTGACCTTTTTTTTCTGGATTGGAGTGAGAGTTGTCTCCCGGGAACTGCTCCCAGCTCGCAGCGAGTGTAAACGGCGGCCTGTGAGGCGCCCTCTATAATTCACGCGTCTGCTCCAAAGGTCATGCTTTTCACAGCTGCCTCTTGTGATCTGGGCGCCCACTTCCGCGGCCCATAAATTGTGCGCTCACCCACTAGACTGACCTTCAGCGGTCTTCATGGCCCCCTGGCTCCTTACTGGGGGGGGAGATCTGAGTTCTTGAGGTTCCCGTTGTTGATTCAGAGACTTTTCCTTCTCTCTGTGCCTCTGTCCTCCTCCGCTTCTCCTTCCGACTGGTACGCTGCAGCCCTGGATGCAATTCCGGTTTTGGCTGCCAGGGGCTCGAACCCAGGGCCAAAAGGATTCCTCTGCCCGTGAGGCCTCCCAGGTGTGCATGTACTTACAAATCTGCTTGCGATACCTCTGTATGCATTCGTATTTTATGGTGGGTTAGGGTTTGGGACATAACAGGACAGCAGGTACCAGCGTGAGTGAAGCTGACATAGCTTTGGATACAGAGAAGAGTGTCAGTAGAGATTTATAAAAAAAAAAAATGAGAACATACTATATAAGCTAATTAGTGTTCGTTTATTGGGGGGGGATAAAGCCCCCCCCCCCAACACAATCCCAAAAATTAGCTAAATGTGCATGTGTATAGAGTATTTGCTTTTAAATTTCCCTGAATAGGGACTGGTTGAAAACAGGAGCACTGGGCAGAGTTATGATGATTCCAGGGGCCCCTGAATGATAGGGGCCCCCAATTTTTTTTTTTTTTTTTTTAGCATAATTCGATTGGTTTGGGTTGGATTTGGATATACTCTAATGGGGTCCAAATTCTCTAGAGACACGCTTGACTGAAAATGCGAGTGGGGAATGCCATTGTAAAATTAGGTAATTAATTGCCTCATTGAAGATTGTGGTGTTGATTGTTTTTCGGTGTGTTGGTTGTTAGGTGGCTAGCATTTGGCCGTTTGTCTCTTTGTCATCGGTCACACCTCTTCCAGCCCTTTCGGAGTGCCAGAGGCGTCGACGTGTCCTCTCCAGAAATAGATCGCTGGGTGCCCGGGAAGCTGTCACGGCCTGCCACTTGGCGATTGTGGACGCTTCAAATGCCACAGGATCGGTGGTTAATTTTGGTCTTTACAGAAGCGGCTTCTTAACGATGTGTTAATGTGTCTGGGGATTAAATGTGGCAGTTTGGATTAAACGACAACATGTTAATATACAGGATAACTTCTTATTTTCTTTCTAAACTATACCTTGTACAGTGGTAAAGTGTTATGGTCAAGTCTAGACTGAACTTGTTTGGAGAATGTTTGTTTACAGGGGTGTAAGAACTGATCGAGGGGGGGATATGTCATTCCTCCCCCTCCACAATATTTAATTTGGATTCATTCACCCCCCAATAAACAAACTTTTGTTAAATTATTACATTGTCCCTTCCAGTATCAAACTTTCTCGTGTGCGCCGTTGTTTATTTTGGTTATTTTGCAGATAAAGCATAAAAATCTTTTTTTTTTTTAAATCAGTCACAATTTGAAAAAGTGTATTTACAGTGTTTCTATATCACACGTGGAGATTGAAGCTTGACTTGGGACGACACATTTTTTAAGAAGCCAGTTGCCGTTGGTATATTAAATATAATCAGAATGTTTAGGAGATTCTATAATGTATCCAGTGGACACAACAAAATTGATTATTTCCTGAAAGAGTGATTTAGGCTTGTGCCTGTAAAGTACAACTGGTCTCTAGTGCCCTCTGCTGGTCTGGCCTCTCCACTGGCAGAGAAGCATGAAAAACTGCATTCTAATTTTTTATTTTTTTTTCTGAATGTATGATTTCTGTGTAAAACTTTTTTAATTAAGTAAGAGATTATATTTATGGCGTGGAACTTTCAGTGAAGGGCAGTTTCTGTAGTCATGGCTCAGACAAGCATGGATAAATACGTGCAGTTTAAATAAAAGTCCGTCCTAGTCTTTGTCGCTTAGCATTTCAGTCAGTTCTGTAATGAAGGTTAAATAATGTCGTTTCTTTTTCTCCCTGGGCAGAGAGTGATTTGCCAGTTAGACGGGCATTACTGAAGGATACATTGTTCGGCTTGATGTCTTTGCTCAGGCACTCTGACTCGTGATTATTTGTTTTTGTCTTGCCCTTTGGGGGAAATGGCTGCAATCGGTGGGAGCAGCTACAGCTCAGATGTGGGAGCTATTAAGCCGGTTGCTAGGGACCAGTTCGTCAACTCAAACAGCACAATGTTTCATCCACTCGCAGTCTTTAGCACCAGTGTGAAAGTGACGCCGCAGTTTAGTATGTTGTCCCTGCTGGCCGGACCAGATTTATCTGTGACCCTCTGTTCTGCATCACATCTGGCTCCATTGACGTAGGAACCTGAAATCAGGGCTGCTCTCGCTTAGGGCGTTTCAAGAACCAGTTCAGTTCAGTTGCGGACCAAATTATACCTTCTTGAAATTTCAGACCACTGAAGGACCCGTCTATGTGCTTAGCTGTGCTCACTTCCTTCTCAGTTCTCTTAAAGCTGAATTTACTCGTTCTATTGATTTTCTTTTTTTTTTAAAACAATCTGCCTGTCACCTCCATGATGTTTCAAAATCCTCATACGTTCTGCTTCTTTCGTTGCTACTTTGATAGGGATGATTTTCTAGGGAGGTACTTCCATAGGATCTTTTCCCACTCATAGACTGACCTGCATGACGTATCTCTCCATGGTCCATTGATTTTCTCGAAGCCCTGAAGGTGTTGATGTGGCAAGATCACGTCCAACTTGTTTTGCACATTCATGACAAAGGGAGCGATCATTCCCTCAGTGCCTGGCGAATGCCAGGGAGAACAGAGTGTACCAGATTTAATTACGCTGAAGATGTGTGTTCCAACCAGCTAGACTGAGAACATGTCCATAAGTTATTTTATTGTATTCAGAAAGTTTTGATCTTTGTATGTGATCTTCTTGTAACAAAGACGAACCCAGGGACTGCAGATGAAAACTAGCCTTTTGGCTAAGTTTGACGTTCATGCAGCAACGTTATCAATATGCATTTAGGGGGGAGGGGGGCTTTTCACACAAGCTGCTATCGATAAACGTTTGTGACTTTAGCATCTCGGACTTAATAAGCAGTGAAATCCAGTCCCTTAGGGTCAGCCATGTTTTGTTCATACATGTTCTATCCCCTCTGATGTAACAATACCGGAACCAAGAAAAGTATGAAAATCCGATAACATTTTCAATACACAACACAAAAAGTAACTCAACAAAAAATTTCAATTATTTTGCTTGCAGTAAAAACGTAAACTCATGTATAAAAACCTTTGCATTGCATTGTTAGTTAAAGCATAATAAATTCAGTAGTAGCCATTGTGTCTGCATACCATGTTCAGTGATATTCACAAGCAGTATATAATTGCCATTTAAATTAGATTTTACTTTTTTATCATTACAATGCATAATAGAACATATATACATTACTTTGAAATACCTTCTTTATCTTGTATCTCAAAGCAAAAACACTTCTAAGAATTGCACGACTCAATAGATAGGTATGTAAAAAATCCCTGTTTCTTGACTCTTTGTATTGCATTGCGTATCGGTCTTTTAAATGTTTAACTAAATTTGTGGTGTTTACCTCTGTTTTCAGTATTGTGCGGTGGCACAACTTGCATACAGGCTTGCATACGTCCTGTGGTTTACCGTTTTATTTTGGCACAAAGACAGAGTATTTAAAGATGACATTCCGCCTGTGCTCTTTATTGATTAAGCACTGTGACGTTGGCTCCAATGCTTCTGAACTACTCATCTTAGTGACACCTCCTGTGTGAGACTTGGGTCATTGGTAGCCTACGAGCCTCAGTGTTCAGAGTGAACAGGAAGTGCAGGCTGTAGAATCAATACCGTGAAAACTAAGTATTGAAACTATTTTATACACGATAGAATTGATACTTTTGACTAGTCCCCTTTCTGCTGTGACTGATTTACTCGTTAGGGCTTAAAATAAGGTGTCCTGATCGTGTCTAGTTACAGGAACAGCATTAGCTGTAGTTTCTCTCCCTCTGAAACACTTTGTTTCTATTCTTTAGATACATTACTTATTGCTGCAAATAGAGACCAAACACCTTTCACTCAGTAGTTGTATCTGTGTGCCGTGTCTGGGGGCTTGACTTGGTGTGGGGTGGCCAAAGGCTTGTACCTGTTGGACAGGCTCACTTTCAAAGCAGGATGCACCTCTGAGTTAATGTATCTTTAGCCGTTGGGTCCCGGCAGCCTCTGCTGGGTAACGTGTGCTGAGCGCTCGTTGGGAGATGCAGTTTTTGGGAAGCATATTAGAATGAAATCATTGTTCCTAATTTTTGCAATACATTGATACAGCGTAACAATACTTTGTTGCATGGGGCGTTGAATGTTATTTCGTGACAAGTCTTAGAAACCATCAAAATGACAGGAAGTTATTATCATGGAGAAAATGACCTTCTAAACTAGGGGCTCCCCACCTTTTCATGACTGCAGACCAGTTTACGGCATACAAATATATATGCATAGCGGCAGATCGATAGGCGATTTGATAGGCTGAATTTCCATTTTTTCAGGTGTGAACATAATGTATGAACGTCAGAGGCTGTAAAACATTGAAGAACTAGTTCATTTTTCGGAAATTAACCAACCCCCCCACCCCCCCCCCCCCCCCCCCCCCCCCCTGGCGTTCTGCTGTCTAATGGAATATGGACCAGTATTGATCCATGAAGGGGGGTCTGGGAATCTCTATTCTAAACAGCAACCAGGAGGTCTTGTGGGTGTCTCTTTCCTTAAACGTCTTTACTGATTTTTTTATTATGACTTTCAGCTATAATAGAACAGGAATACTAGTTAACGGCAGTGAGGTGCAGACTGAAGCTCTCTAATGTGTGGTTTCCTTTTCTAGGCGAATATCCTGGCAGAGCTCATAACCTCCCAGAATCTCATAACCTCAGATCTCCTTCAATTTTACAAAGGTATAAAATCTTTTCTAAGCCAAATCGAAGATGTAGAGTAATGAGATTAATTTCAGAGACTGATTTGTGTCTTTTTGCTCTACGTGTCACAGAAGAAAGGCGTTCAGAGGCGCTGGAAGTGTGGACGGCATGGATGGAGATGAGAAGGTTACTAATGTAAATGGGTGGGGCCACCAGCAGAGAAGCCCCGTGCCTCCTGGTCTGGCCAAGGGGAGCAGCTCCGAGTGGAACAGCTCAGATGATCTGCTGGATGCCTCAGAGACCGAGGACAACTGCTCCCGGTGCAGCAGCGGTAACGTCACCCCTGCCTCGCCCCCTTGGGAGTCCCACCAGCCCATCTACCAAAACCTGCTGCCACTGCTGCCCCCGAAGACGTTTCCTCAGATTGCAGACGGGAGCAGGACCACCCCCCAAGTGCGGCAGCCACAGGAGCTCACGCAGCCTAGTTCTAGGGTGGGATTTCCGGTACGGTCCCCCACACCGTGCCTGCCTCCTCCTAACCATGCCGCAAAACAAGCACCTTCTTCAGATATCAGATCCAGATTAGAGCCCTCCAACTTGGACAGGGGCAAACTGTTGGCCAGGGAAGGTGAAAGGAAAGGCCCTGATGGGTCAGCTGACAAGGTCCTACCGACCAGCTCCTTCTTGGTGGATGGCTGCATGACTGATAGCTACAGGCAGAAGTATTACCACCAGATGGCACTGCAGGGTAACCAGAAATGCTCCAGCAGAAGAGAGCTTCAGGACACGAATCACCCAGTTTCCCTGGAGTTTCACTCAAACTCCTCAGTGTCCAATCAGCATCAAGAAACGTGGCCCTCCCTCTCCCAGTGGTTATAGTGGTGACAGTGTTTTAATTCAACTGCTGACATGGTTATTTTTATACATCCTTAATGCAGTTCAGTTTATACAACCAGTAGGTCTTCTGCTAAGTGGAATCCAGTAACTTCCAGCGGGCTAGGTGAAATTGGCTGTCTGTCACTTTTGTAAAATTTATATCTGATGGCCTGGCAAGTTATTGTGCTGCTAAAAGCATTATCCATTAGACTGTGTTTAATTCTAGTAGGATAATCCCGTCTGTTTGCTCCAGCTCATTTAATACGGCTTACAAAACACATCCATTTTTGCTTAGTCCATAATTTTAGCTTCTTTTGATTATGTTGGACGTTTCTTTTTATACCCCAGAGGATACAGAAGACAAGATAAGCAGTATTTTGCCAAAAGGGAATTTTCATTTGAAGTTTGATCCCCTAAGCTTGCTGATTCTTCATTCTCTAGAGCAGTGCTTCCTGAGATGTTTTTGCTCCCTGCCAGACAGACATTTTCACTCCCTTCCAATTCCTGGGAAGAGAAACATGGACTGTCTGGTGATCTCTGAGGACTGGGTTGGGAAACACTGTTCTAGAAAATTGCTAAAAATGCTGTTCATCACCAGATGGTAATTCTTCTGTTTGCATAGTTGCCTACTGAAGTAGATAATACAAACCCAGTATGAACTAAGTACTGTTAATACATTTACTTTTGTTGGGTTAGTCTAAATATTAATAACTATTGGGTTGCATCACACTATATGTGAAAGAAGGAACAAATAGCAGCCCATTAAAACTAATTTTAGTGTAAGCAAAATTGCTAAATTTTCCTATACAAAGAAGCATTGAGAAAATGCTGTCACAAAACTATCACTGCCAAAACCTTTTAAAAAAAATTGATTTTGACATTTGTGTGCAGTTTTTTATTTTTTTTGAGGGGGGGGTGTTGTAAAAGGACCAGAAACATCGGACAATCGGCAAAACAACTTGCTGTACAGGTAGGAAGTGTTTGAGTTTGAAACCTAGCATTTCCACACTGCATATCTGCAGTTGTGGCTATAGTTCTGAATGGTCACATGATTATAGGAGCAGCGCACAGGGACGTACAGCCCAGTGTGTGACAGTACCCATCTCTACACCACCCCCCCGACCACAAATATCTTTACATTTTTTAATTCATGCGTGTGACAGCATTTCCATACATTTTACTTGTATTTGGATTTACTAGCATAACTTCGACTTTCTAACTCTATGCGGAGAACAAAATACTTTTGTGTTTAAAGCTTTTTTTTTTTGGCTGGTATGAAATGAAGCAGAATTACACTGTCTTGCGTCAGGCTGATACGATTCTCACTTTCTGTAGATGCATGGCAGCTTGCAAATTGAAGGTATCGACAAACCATCTGGTTTTATTTATCCTGGTCTGTTGTAAATGCTTAGTAAGACTTATTAAAAATGTTAGTTTACCAACACACCTTCTTGCACAGTGCCTTTGGTTTTCTATGTAAAATAAGACTAACCTAAAGTCACAATTTGTACAATAATTTTTGGAGATTCTTTTGTAATGTTAGTTTCATTTTTAATGGATTTAAATAAGTGTAAATAAATGTAAATTGTTTAACCATACAAATGTGGTTCTTTAACATTTTCCAAGCTGGAGAAACTATACCCTGACCAATTCAACAAAGTTTTCCTGAGATCATTTACAAACTCTGATTCATGCATCAGTTTCAGGTCATGATTTTATAGAAAAAACCGATCCGGTTATAAATGGTTGATCGCTTTGGCTCGCGTATTAGTTACAGCTCTAGACCTACAGATCAGGTATAAAGCGCTTTTGAATCCATGCATAACAAAATATAGATGCTTCTCAAAAGCCAGAAATACTGCGAAAATGTCAAGATGGAAACATTTTGATCTTAGGGAGGGGGGGAAAAATCATAATAAATTAGCATTTTAAAAACTGCTGGTGGCAGGATCCAATTGTGGTTAAGCTTCCACACGGCCGACCTGTTAGGAAAGTTACAATTAGACAAGATAAAACTGATCAGGCTAAAGATTTCTACAGGAGTATCCTGCACAACAATGTTGTTATACTATTTTTTCGATTATGCAGATATACTCGCTGTAACATACAATACATTACGGTGCCCTCGAAACATTAGATGACTGAGTGCGATTTCATACCTCCCAGAAAACGTGTACAGATGTAACCACTGCTCCTTCTTTGGTCCCAGTAACGTAGTTTGGCCTCATCTAAATAAAGACACGATGTGTAAAATAAGACAACCTGGTTAACGCTGGTAAATCTTTCCAACTATTTCTTACTTTAGCTGCCCAGCTATTAGCCTCTTAGCTACTTCCTGTAGGAAAAGTTAAGCTATCTTGACGCATTTATTTTAGAAACGATCAGATACTACAGAATGTCATAACGTGTTTGTATAATTCTATCACAAACCTGTGCTTGACACATTAATACTTTATTTGAAATTAGCAGGCAGCTATACCGGTATAAAACTGTCGCCGACAAGTATAAGCGTGCTTATTAAAAGAGTAACATACTTACTAACCCGCAGTGTTATGGGACAAAAAAATAGATCACAAGGAAAAATGCGATATTAAAAAGAATAAACAGGCAGAAATCAAACCAGTACGAATGTTGAGGTAATGATACAGATCCACTTTCCTCCTCCTTATACCCCATATTGAAAAAGAACTACAGCTGATAAGGGCGTTGCCTGAGTGATAGGATATTTTACCGACTACCCAATGGAAATCGGTTAAACTATTAGCTCCCGCCCATATTTAAATTAGGCATAGATGATTTGCCGCTGCTCTGTAACACGATCAACAGACGTCATTTCGATTGGCTTAAAGGACTGTCCATTTCCCGTTTGGAATCATCGCGATAGTCAGGAAAAGTCATGGGCGTACCCGGGAAATCTCACGTACCTGTTGAAGATCACGTAATTCCAACGATAAACAGAACTGGCCCTGTTTCAGAAGATGCATTGCAATCCACCACACCTACGGTTTCGTTAGAGTGAGGCATCTACGGGACGTTAAAATCAGCGTGGCAGAGTAATGTGCTCAGGGTCAAATTACATTTTTAAATATTCGCCCAGTTTTTTTATATTAAGTTACATTATATGCATTTTATATTTGGTTTTCCTAAAGTACCAGAGATATAGTCACGTTTCTTTCACGTTTCTCCTAAGTGACTAATTTTGAATGACACCAGGAGAAGGACAACTACAATCTTAAATAAAATTTGAATTAATAACATTGACAGAAAATGTAGACGTAAACACTGAAGGGATGTTTTGAATGTTTAAAATGGGCAATAAAATGGGCAGCAGACTGGTACATCAGAGTAAATAAAAATATTAAAGATAAAGGAAACAGTTCAATAATGCAATAACGGTGCAAATAGCAATAAAGTGACAGAGTGCTGGTGGTTGTTATAGTGCAAAGTTCAGATCTGCCTTCTTATCTCTGTAAGAAGTTGTTACAGAGTTTATGGAATATTAATTAGCAGCATCTATCGTTGAGAGAGCATAATCATTATGATATCAGAAATCATGCCAAATACTCAGGATGTAATCATTGCAATGTAATCATCATAATATAATCATTACAATGTAATCAACTGAGTATGTATCTGCATCTTATGTTAGCCTCATAGTTTGTTAGCTATTCTATGTTAGCCCTGGTTGTACGAATATCCACCTTTATTAGTGTTGCAGCTTATCACTATCACAAATATATTATTAGCCCTCTAACCAGACAGTGTGCAACAAGCTGAAGCTGACAAGATTTACCACTGAAGGGAAGGGATTCACCTGAGTTCACCAAAAGTCCACAGCTGAGTATTTTAAAAAAACAAATAGAAATGGTGGCGCCACAATTATGTTCAGCCGGGAGACCAAACAGTAAAAGAAATGTTTGACAGTCTTATTATCTAGGGGTGTGGATCAAGGGAGAAAACAACGACGGTGAATGGTTAAAGGAATGATGATGCTTTAGTGACTAGATATTGTTAAAAAATAAGAAAATGTATAGAAATTAGTATAAAACAGTATTGAACACACTTGCAAGTGTCCAGCCTTGGTTGTAACCTTATTGTTGCAGTAAAGACTATTTGGATCTACACAAGTGGCTTCTGACTCCTGATTTGTCGGGGAAGGAAAAACCGTAACAAGTCTGGCAGAACTGCTTTGGATGCTCCTGTGACTTCTGCTGGACAGAAGGGGGACAAAGAGACTGTGGGAAAGTCGGGAGGCGTCCTGCACGAAGCTGGAGGCCTTACGGGGGCACCGTGACATAAAGATTTCGACAGCGGAGGGCATAGGGGTCCCAGTGATCTTCTCGGCTGTTGTAGTGTCTTCCTGTCGGAGACATTGCAGTTCCCAAACCAGTACCCTATACAATAGGGTAGATGTCAGTAACTCTGCAATGTTTGTGTCATTGTGCTTAAGTTAAATAAAATTAGCTAGTTAGTGGTTCATCTCTACTGATGCGTTACACAATCAAACCCATTCTTTTGAAAGTAATTTTTGTTTCTAGAACTTTCATATTGTTGGCAGTGGGTTTGATATCCATCAGACTCATGGAGATCTTGTCTTATTCGCTCCATTACAACTTGTTGCTGAAGGACATGGGCAGAGCAGCACATATACACGATGACACTTGTGAGACCTGCGCATTCTTCCATTCGTCTTATAACCACTTACCCTGGTCAGGGATCACAGAAGGGGTGGAGCCTAGTCAATGGCTGAGGAGCATAACTGAACATTGAGCCAGCATTCCACCTAGTGGCCATTTTGTATTCTGAAACAGTGGCCCCTCAATCTCGGCCTATCGTTGAAATGCACGCCTTTTAGCACCCCTGAAAACATGTGATTATGTTTTACTTCTTCTGCTTATAAAAAGGATCATTTCACAGTATGTGTTGTGGATATTGTTTGAAGTAGCCTTTTACTAACAATCTCCTGGGTTGTTCCAAGCATTGCGCCCATATTTGCAAATAACATTTACCAGTAACACTTTGAGGGATCACGAATAATGTAATATTATGGTATTACTTATGTATTAATTGACCACAAACTAAACCTTAGCTACATACTGATCTCATATCGGATCATCATTATTGATATGTCTTTTATCTCAAGTAATTATGGTATTTAGGGACTAAGCACCGATGATGTGAGGCACCTATTGTAATTGTTAGAATTTTTCACTATTATTATTCGGGGCCAAGCACAGACGGTGTGAGGCAATTGTTAGAATTTTTTGTTATTTTTATTACTATTATACTTCCACAATTTTAGTCCAACCTTCACCTTTCTAATTTTGCACATTGATAGAGGTCAGTACCCAATATTCAGTCACCAAATTTGGGGTCAATACATCCATCCCTGTAGTGGCACCATCAGGCCAAATTTCAAGATATGTTTTAGCTTATAGCGTTTGAACAGTTTGGCCTAAAAATCTCGATTGTGGCCCACTGAGCCACAAGCTGCCCCTATGTTATGTCAAATGCTATGGCTGCTGTCTTCCAATGACTTTGATGACAAAGCCATCAAACAGGAAGTGAGGCCATATCACAGCAAAGCTTTGATATACTAAAAACAAATTTGGGAAATGGAAACCAATTCAGAGGAAGGTAAAAAAAAATGGTGTTGGTCCACCACTAGGGGGCACTGCAATAAGCAAAAATGCATTTTGGCTAATAACTGTTGAAAGGTTTGACATAGAAAAAGAAGTCTTATGTCGCCAAACTCCATGGGACAGGCTCAGTCGCCTCCGTTGGAATCTTCATGCTGAGCTAATTCATGCGCCCCCCCTATTGAATTCAATTGAAAATGTAAGAATTTTCCACAGGCCATGAAATCACCAAATATGTCAGAGATGATCGATAGATATTAGAGAGATTTTCGTCTGTCAAAGCCATTTGTCTGTCATTGCTAATGGAAATTGGTGGTGAAGTCGCCACACAGGATGTGTGGTCACATCTCAGCTATGCTCTAATGTTCTGAGACCTTGAAACTTGATATTTGGACTCAGGGCCAGACCGTTGGGATGTGCACCAAATTTTGTGTCATTTGACCACTGGGGGAGGTTGGTGGGAGCGCCACAATGAGCAGAAAAATGATTTTCCTAATACATTTTGATGTGTGTTGGCCTTTTAAAGTGGTTGTTATGATAATGGGAATTGTGAGGATTTGTCTCTGCCAGTCCCACCATGTCCCTGGTTTGCCAGCAGATGTCACTGGCTTTCCCATATGCTCCTAATGGATTCCAACCTAATGTCTCAGTTACAGCATCTCCCATTTGTAACTCATGACCTGTGTATATATGTGTTTATACACTCACCTAAAGGATTATTAGGAACACCATACAAATATGGTGTTTGACCCCCTTTCGCCTTCA